TGCTCTGACTTCAATATTTCATCGGCTTCATTTTTCGGTGGTACTCCACTTGCAGTAGGTATTCATGTTGTTCGGGATTCTTGGTTACCGAGTTGTTGAGGTCGGAAACAAGCTCTACGGCTCTTTCCGCGACATCATTCACAACCCCAAGAGCTTGAACTCGCTGCTGCGCTGTTAAGTAGAAAATAACCGCCGTCACTTTCAATAATTTTAAAGCACTTTTTTTGTTCAAAATCGAAACAATTTTTATGACAATATAGTGTTTTGAGTTATTCATTAAAATATCTAAAATCTAGCGTAAGCTTTTTTTAAATTGGCGAAATCATCAAATACCTATCTGAGTTCAAAAATAAAAGTTTGATTTTTCACTACTCAAATACGCGTAAAAAATCGGAGAGTGGAAATATCCGAAAAATTCAATGTTAGATTTAAAATAATTCATTTTTACATTGCGAGCAGAAGAATCTGCAAAATTGATATAATAGTCTCCGAGATCCCTGGAAAAAAACATGTAGTTTTGTGAAAACGCGTTTTAAGATTGGAGTTATATTTAACCCGTAAAAGCCCGGGACAATTTTTTATTTAAAAAAAATTGTATCCCAAAAATGCCAAGGTCGAAAAAAATTAAATTTTTTAAAACATCATTCCGGTGAGTGGTTCGTTGGGTGGTACTTCCCCCATGCCCCTCCCTCTTTGTTGTACATTCAAGAATGTGTTGGTACAGGGGTGGTTTTTTTTTAATCTATCTTCTATCTATATATATAAAAATGATTTACATAGTTGAAGATGCTAATTTCAAATAACAGACTGTAGTGGTAATTTTTATACGATAGATGGAGTAGATGAAAGCATAGAGTTGATAGTTCCGTTAGAGTACGGCAGTGTGAAGATTGTATATAGATATTAGACAAGCGAGCTAGGACAACTTTTATGGAAGGTACAAATCGGTTTTTATCTCTCTTTACCAAACTCCCCCTTTGGAGAGAGATGGTGAGGGGTGTCCCCCCCCCGCCACCACTGGCAAAAAGAGATGAAAACCGACCCGTTCAAGTACCAACTGTGTGTTTGAAACAGTTCTACCGATGTTTACCGCACTTCAATTGTTATTTGAAGGAAGGCATCCAGTCGTAGGTTTGGAAATTGCAACTATTGCAACGGTTTTCATCTCTTTTTGCCAGTGGTGGCGGGGGGACACCCCTCACCATCCCTCTCCAAAGGGGGAGTTTGGTAAAGAGAGATGAAAAAACCGATTTTTACCTTCCTTAAAAGTTGTCCTAACTCGCTTGTCTAATATCTATATACAATCTTCACACTGCCGTACTCTAACGGAACTATCAACTCTATGCTTTCATCTACTCCATCTATCGTATAAAAATTACCACTACAGTCTGTTATTTGAAATTAGCATCTTCAACTATGTAAATCGTTGACTTCACGTAGAAGTAATACTAAAAACATATAGTCAAAGTATAAAAATGAATTTCTGTCTGTCTGTCTGTCTGTCTGTCTGACCCTTATAGGCTCGGAAACTACTGAACCGATTGGCGTGAAAATTTGTATACAGGGGTTTTTGGGGCCGTGGAAGGTTCTTATGATGGTTCGAGACCTCTCCCCCTTCTGTAAGGGGGGGGGCTCCCATACAAATGAAACAGAAATTTCTGCATAACTCGAGAACTAATCAAGCAAATGGAACCAAATTAGGCATGTGGGGGCGAGTGTGGGGGTATAAGGAGATAATCATAGGGGGTAGCCCCTTAGATAATAGGAGGGGGGGCTACGTACAATATAGCATGCTTTTTTTAAAATCGGCGCATAAACTCAAGCTAATATTGAATCCCGAGCAAGACCGGGCACACTCAGCTAGTATTTAATAAAAGTAAGATACTTATCATTGCCAGAACATTTTTTTCGTGGAACTTCCGGTAATGATAGAGAACAATCATAAGACCTACGATAGAATCGGATGTTTCGGATTATGATTCCATATAGTCAAATTTTAATATCTCTCATAGCCATATCAAGTTACATTTCAATTCACATCTACTCGACGAAATATGACCAATGATACTCAAAACAACAACCACAGAGGCATATGGTCACCGTAGAACCAGTTCCAGATATTCCACATCATGGTTCCAGATGGTCAAATTTGATATCTCTCATAACCATATCAAGCAACACACAGTGTTTAACACAGGACTAACCCAATCATAACTACTTTGTGTATCGAATAGGCACTTTGACTAAATATTCTAGAAGGTATAAAGATATTTATACTAATTATTTCTAAAATGCAAAGAACCCAGGTAACAATTTGATGCTGAATAAGTGTTCTTGTATATATTTTAATTCAGCCTTAGTTTGAATTATTGTTGTACAAAGAACACGAGCCAGTGAAGGCACACGCTACCACTCAGGACGTGGCAGAATCAATTCCCAGTCCAGTCTAGGATTTTTCGAGTTTGAAAAATCCTCGACTTCCTTGGATGTAGTGTAACATTGTACTAATACCATAGAGCTAACTCTAAGACCACAAGGTCCCAAAGAAATGTGCTCAACTTTTTGGCTCAGCTCTGGTACTATCTTCGATGTACCCCTCGATGCACCCCTCGAAACATAGGAAAATCCACGAACCCCTCATTTTATCTGTCAAACTTTCATAGCGAATCAAAACAAACATTGTGTACTACTAGAATTTTGACTAGAATGGGGTACGTTAATCGATTTGCTTGGGACCAATAGGCTAGTCAAGTAGTGAGCCAATCTAAAATCATTAGTTTACACCGGTTGCTAATACGGTTGCAAAAATGCTACCAGCTTTAGAAAGCTGTTTCAAATAACAACTGCGGAAGTGCTCAATGGACAGGCGCATAGTTCCAATCGGAAAGTAATGAGCATGAAGGAGAAGATTTAAATACACCAAACCTTCCAATCGCCAGAAAATAAATCACAACCACGCCACCGTATGTCACAATTGCATAACCACCAGAGCCACCAGAAATGAGCAAAATTTCATAACTAATAGAAAATTCTACCAAAGTGACCTCGCATTCCATATTTCAAGCACCCATTAAAAGCAATTATTCCTTCACTTTGTCATCTGTTCCACTTTGAACCAGTTCCGCAACTCCACGGACCGGCACACAGCTTAGGCACAAAACGCACGAATGGAAAATTAATTTACTATACTACCTTCACTTGAACAGCGTTGAGGTTGACCCTTTTCGAGCATATCGGAAACGAGTTTCCCTTACTTTATTTTTTATTACGAAATAGGTGCCAATGCATTTTCGAGAACTTCTCTTTCGCGATTAATGGAAATCCATTGAAAGACTCGTAACAATGCCCGTCCCGTCAAGAAGTTTTCAGTCGTTAATTGAGTCGATATGATCTGACGACTTTTTGTCTTCTTCTTTTTCTTGTTCAATACACATGCATTGTGCAAATTGAATCAATTCCCGTTTATTGGTGTGGTGTATACAAAGTGAGGGAGAACACCCCTTTTTTCGGAAGACATTTTCGCAACATCAAACATCGCAGTCGACGACGACAACGATGTGACGGCGACGGTGAACAAATGCGAGTAATACACTCTAATCACCGACTCGAAACTTGTGAAGAGGGTAAGGGATTAATTTTTCAAGTGATCCTTGAGAAAGCAGTTTTATCAGCAGATTTGACGAATCGGTTGAAGAATTGAGTATAAATACGGAGCCATGAATGGAGAAAAGCCACCAGTAGTAGCAGTAGCAGTTGCGAACAATAGAGGCTGTTTTACAAGTATCAAGTGATCAGAAGTCGAAAAAGAGGAATGATGAAGGTGTTCGTCTTGTTGGTAGCCGCTTTGGTTGGATGCGCTCAGGCCGTCGTTGATGGAGAGTTCGCTGAGAAGGGACAGTTCCCGTATCAGGTGGTGCTGACCCACAAGGTAAAACTGCACTGTGGAGGCGTGCTGGTCCATGAGCGCTTCGTACTGACTGCTGCGCACTGCTTCTTCGATGGAGAGACGCAGTGAGTGTTTACTGACATTGGGTAAGGTAGGGATTTGCAATTAAAAGATTTGTTTGGATTTGCAGGTTTCCGGAGAAAGCTTTCCGTGTCTTCTTCGGTAGCGAACGGTTGATGATGGGTGGACAGTTCCGTAATGTCAAGACCTTCTACGTCCATGAAGAGTTTGACCATCAAACCTTCAAGTACGATCTGGCCCTGATTGAACTGAGCAAGCCAGCTCAATTCAGCGATTATGTTGAGTTCGTGACTGTCAATGGAACGCCATTCGCTTTCGATGATTCGGTCACCTTCACTGGTTTTGGACGTACGTCGGAAGAGGAGAACACCAGCTACAAACTCAAGTACAACACGTTGACGGCTTTCACTACCGAAGAGTGCAAGAACTACCTGGGAGATGCCTTCTACGAGGGAGCCCTATGCTTCCACAACCAGGAAGGTCACAGTGGTGCCTGTTTTGGCGATTACGGAGGTCCAGCTGTGTTCGAAAACTCTGTCGTCGGTGTTGCCAGCTATACCTTCGGTGGAGCTTGCGGAGGAGAACAACCTGACGTGTTCGTCGACGCAGGATTCTTCCATGATTGGGTCGAGGAAAAACTCAATGCCTAAATATTTTCAAATATTTTATTTTCTGCTAATTTACTTTAAGCTTCGGGTTCTATTTACATAAGCCTTGTTGTACTCAATCATTTGAACAAATAAAAACACGACTACAGTCATTGTAATACTGCTTGCATTCTTACTCTAATCGCTAACGGGTTAGCACTCGTACTACTCTAGGCCTGCGGTGCAAGCTGGGATGCACAAATCTCACAAAGTCTGGCAGCACTGGTTCTTTGGCAAGCAATGCAGACTAGATCGGTTCACTATCGGGACACTGCTGTGTCCGACCCGATTTCCCCCAGCGTAGACCTGCTGCTTCTATTTACAGTTTTCGTTCCAATAAGTTAACAATAAATATTGCATCTCGAAAAAAGGTTAATTCACTACCTATAACCACCGGCGCAATTATTTCTCCGCTACACTTTCTTTGCTTGTATTGACGCTATTGCTGCCAACACTGAGATTGCTGCTAGCACTGCTGGAACTGCTACTACTGCTGCTACTGCTGCTGGTATTGCTGACTCCCACGGCGGCACCAGTCCCATTCGCTCCATTGGGACTTTCCTTCGGGCTGGCCGGTGGACTCAAACGGGTGTTGATGCTGAGATTTTGCGGGTAAGCTGCTGCCCCGAACAACGAGTTTAGACCCATGTACTGCGACAATAGCGAATGAAAGTGCGGAATCTTATAGTTGGGAACCATATTTGGATGAAGCAATGGATGACTGGAGCTCGGAATCAGCGTTGGATGCAGGCCGAAATTTGCCGACCAGAATTCCGCTGGCGCCAGACTCGGATGGGTCAACTGGTGTGGCAGTGGCAGACCCAGCGGGAATTCAGGCATTCCTATAGATGAAGAAAAATACAAACTGATTAGCTGCCAGGAAGTTGTACACGTGAAAAGATAAGATCTAACCGAGCAAAGCATCAGGAGGGCTGATCGCGTTTTAATTGTAGGTTTGCAAGTGGGAACAAGCAACACCTTTTGGACAGTTGGTCAAACAACAATGACGATGCGATAATTACCTTGGTCGTGGTGTAGAAAAGCAGATGTGTCTCTACCCATGGCTTTTTCTCGTTTGCGCCACTTCGCACGGCGGTTTTGGAACCATACCTGCAATTTAAAAAAAAAAAACAGAAGAATCTTGTTAGAAAATCTAATCATAGGGCGATTGTTTTGATTGCTGTCAAAAGACTCGTAATGGCATTATTTCATTACTCCGATAAGTGTCTATAATTTGATCCAATTTTCCCCAGCCATTCCGGACCGTTCAAGCGGAACGGGTGGCAAAACGACGGCGACGTTGTCTTTCCCATTCATCCGGTATGGAAGGATTCAGCCCTAATTGACAGCCGGAGAGTCTAACCAATTATTTGCGCCAATTATCTCGCAGAGAGTTTTTCCCAGCGATTTTCTTCACCGGAGCGGATGAATTCGCTACCTTCGTACTGCTCGATGGGGAGGGGATGTATTGCTCTTGGATGTTGGCTTTCCGACTGACTTAGGAGGGGCGAGGGATTTTTTTTTTCCTGTCGAATAATGGAATTTGGTCCGGAAACCGGATATGGATCGACGATGGTGATGCGATTTTGCCTTTCAATGGTGATGGGAAATTTGAAAGATTGTGTGAAAGTAAGATTTTGAGTGGTTCGATATGGTTCGACGCGGTACCATTTGAAATCGAAATTTTACTTGATAATTCTTAAATGAAAATCGCTTTGAAAGAAGCTCCATTGATTGGCGTAAGCTTAATCGATTAAGCTTGTCCGGTTCACATTTGCTGCTATATTACGTTTATTAATTGATAATGCCTTGCAGGCACTAAAATAATTCGATTGTAGTTTGTTTTGAATTCTTATGCAGAATCTCCATAAACTACTGCTACAAAGTTCAAGATGCTAATTTCAAATAACAGACTCAAGTGGTAATTTTTATACGATAGATGAGGAGATGAAAGTATAGAATTGATAGTTTCGTTAGAGTACGGCAGTGTGAAAATAGCATATAGAGAGTAGAAAGCGAGCAAGGACAACTTTTTAGGAAGGTACAAATGGATTGATCATCTCTCTTTACCAAACTCCCCCGTTGAAGAGGGATGGTGAGGGGTATTCCCTCCATCACTACTGGCAAAAAAAGATGATCGCCGACTCACTCATGTAGCGACGATCTGTTTGAAACAGTTCTATTGATTTTACCGCACTCAAGTTGTTATCTGAAGAAAGGCATCCAGTCGTAGGTTTGGAAATTGCTGCTAGATCTTCCTGCTGTTCAGTAGTAGAATTTAATTTTATTGTGATGGTTCCTGCAGCCACATGAGACACGAACCCAGTACTTAATGTTGATATGCTCAATCCGCATTGATTCAGAATCATTGGCTAGTCCCATGTAACTTCGGTTATTTTTGAGAATTGGGTTCTTTAAGGGTACTGAGCTAAATACATATTCGTAATCTACATTAGAAATGGATCGGAAATTGTCATCGATTTTTTTTTTTGCACTGGAACTATTTCAAATAAGTTCGATTACATCAGAAAAAATCACCATCTTAGCGCCCGTTGGTTGGACATTGTATGGGATTGGATTGTCAATTTGTCAAATTAGTGTCAAAAATGCGTAGTTATTATTTTGCTTGAAATCTTGCTTTAGCAATGAAAGTTTATGGGATTGAAAAAATACGCTGTGCCCAGAAAACGAAGCTCCAATTGTGTCAGGATCTGCAGTTGAGGTTTTGCGACTCACTCAAGGCACCGGTAAGCCGTGGACCTTGACAAGCAACTCGTTATTATTTATTTGCGGTCTTCTATATCAGTTACCTAGTACACGTCTACGAATCCAACAAGTGACCTCCAGTTTGATTCATAGCCGGAGAAAATGTGAGTCTGTGCAAAAAATGGTAAATATTTATGAAGGTTTAGAAGTCGGGCAAATATCTTATCTTGATCTTAAGATGTTGAAAATTAATTTAGAAAAGTATGCACGCTTGTGATCTTAAAATCAGGACTTAGTTTTTGGGTCCTAATTAATATTTTTAGAATGAAATCTTAAAAAAGGCAGAATGTCTTAATATTTCCAATATTACTATGAATTTTACGATTTTGATATTTTTGAATAATCTGCAAAATCTTCACGAAATGAAATTTTAAGATTATTTTAGGTTTTCAAATATCCCTTTTCGGACAGAGGCCTTAAATTACAAGAACAACTAAGTTCAATCTTTCACTTTCCAAAATTCAGCCAATTGATTAAGCTTTTGCTGATTCCAGAATACATTTTTTTTTTATTTAAAAGGTCTTCTCATACCAATTCAATCACTCTTTTAGGTGTTATTGTCTAAAAACTGAAAGAACATTTTACGTTACATTGTTATTTATTTGATATTTTAGCAAGTATTTCGATAGCCGAATAACATCAAAAACAATGTTTTATACCTCAAGCAAACCAATATATCATAACACATTAAGATATTCATATGTCATCGGCATGGCTGTCATCTGATTACTCAATGTGCGCAATGTACTGATTTTCTGAAATATACAAAGTGAGAATCAAGCAAACACAAAGTTTGCTTGTCTTTCACCCTGCGCAAGTGTAAAACAGCGGAGAAGAGAAGACAGGCACACACACCCAGAAATAACGAAAGCTCAATGTGTAGCCATAGCTCCGACGGCTCCGCCGCAAAGAGTGCCACTCAGAGTAGGGTTTCAAATGGGAAACACAGCAAACAGACAAAACTATTCTTTGTTATGTCCTTCTTCATCTCCTTTTGCATGCAGTCGTGGTGAGCAAAGTCTGCAACGAATTCAAAGAAGACATTATCGCTTGTTGTGTGTACCGCTCATTCTGTGGATTGCTTTCTCACAGATTAGTTGGAAAAGAGTGTGTGAATTAAATGGGAGAACCACACACTCTTTAGTGGACCCCACACGATTACTTTTATTGACAATAATCGTATTGTCAATACATTCTATATTGACGTCAATACATCGAGATTGACAATATTTCTGAATTCACATCATCAATATTATTGTCAATAGTTCCCCTTCGCGTCAATATATTGATACGTGTGGGGTTCGCTTTTGTCGAGTGTTGTGAGATGCATGCACAAAGTTGCTTTTTTAACGCTCTGAGGTGCTTTCCAGCCCTGGTCATCGGTTAGCTATCGGTTCCTGCTCGGGTACATACAAGCAGAAAGCTGCATATTCTACTGTTGTGCTTAATAATTTGTATTAGTTTGTGCCAAAATAAATCATTAAACATTTTTTAAAGATGATGAAAATTTCTAGGTTCTCCAAATTGCCCTGGAGTTATGATCTTACAGTTCAATAGACTTAATGTGGTTTGATCTTTTTGACCTGCATTCGGACGCGGTTGGCGCTGGTATTGCCTAATTTAAGATCACCAGTTTTTACATATTGAGGATGATTGCTAGTCCCAAGCATCATGGAATGGTATCGATAAAATATTGTCTGATATTCAAACTAATGTGGAGATCTTGAAGATTTTTGCAAGCTCAAAACGTACGTATAAGTACGGGAAGCTCTGGAGAGCCTCATGATAACATGCACATCATGGAATTGCCTCAACGAAATATTTAAGGCTCTCCAAACTATTCTGGAGATAAGATCTTAAAGTTCTACAGGCTCAGTGAAGTCATGGACAATGTCTTGGAAGAGGCTCGAGAAAGCCTCTTGACAACATGCGCATCATGGAATACGCCTTTATCATGGAATACGCCTTTTTATTAGAAACTAAGTGATCGATTCAACCTCTGGTGGTGAATAGGAGAACGTCAAAAAGAATGTTGTGGGCAGACATTTTTGCCGTGAGACATATGAAGCGGAACATTTTTCAACTTTTGCTGATAAATTGATTCATCTGAGATGCTCCAAAACTTGATCTACAGTTGAAAAATTTAATTCTGTATCATTTTTGCACGGATCCTGCTAGTGTTCAGGAATATTTTTAATGAAAAAAATTTGGAAATTTTAATAGTGCCTTTGGTTAGGGATGATGCACAATAATGTCACGCTCCAAGCGGGAGGGGCTTATGATGTTGTGACAACTGACAAGCCATGCATTAGGTATAGGAAAAACGCCAAGAAAGGGGAGGGGGGGTATGTTTCCCTCAATTTAGCGTGATCTCAAGTGTGACATCGTTAATTTAAAGCCTTTGAAGACGCAATTGTTGCCGTACAGAACTTGTTGATACATTTTGCCAATCAAGAGTTATTACCGTTTTTCTTAGAAAAATATGCCATTTGTATATGTTGATATATCAGGTTGAAGCAAATATAAAACATATATTTTGACAGCAGCAGTGCTGGAAAAATATCAAAAAAATCAAATCTCAACAAAGAACAAGATCTCGCTTGATTTTCGTAGACAAAAATCAACATGCAAACAACTGCGGTTGATATTGCAAGTTTTGATATCGCAGCTCGAAATGTCAACCTAACAAATCTCCCCACATGCAAATATCACCAAACTGTGGTGAGATTGAGTTTCAAGATATTTGCTATACACCCGAGCACAACCGAAACATCCATAACGACTTGCCGCAGTCACTTCGTGTCTGCCATCGGTGAAGAGATAAACGAGGTAGCATCTTTCTAAGAAAACGAGATGCGACGGAATCAACTTTACACGTTGTGAATAGTCTCGCAATATCAAAGGAGCTTGTAAAATCTATATAAAGCTTGATATTTTGCTCCAATTTGCGTGATATTGAGAGCGTATGAGAGCGGAAATATATCAATTTGCTAATGATCATGCCATCACATAGCAGCAGTATGTATGGGCGTATACTATTATATATAATATGAAAGTGGACATTGCTATTTTTTAAATATAATTGTCTATAACTTCATAATGGCAATGTTTTTTTTTATTGCGTCTCATATTGCTTCAAAAATATGTCGAAGATGACTTTCATGATAAATTTGAATAATAAAAGATACACACAAAAGATGGCTTTCAGACAGCCACGCTACCCAAGTAACAATTTTGGTTTTATGAGGATTCTGTACACAATTATTTAGACTTGTAGAATGCAATAAAACCTCGATAAAACCTGCTATGTTACTTGGGTAGATAAAAAAATTCTAATAAATATT